AGCTCTCCAGGAAATTCTCAAACCTATCCTTCATAACAACCAGTGTAATCCTCCACCACAAAAGTTAACTCACTGAGAAACTTTTGATAAAATTCCAACATGCACAGTGGGGAAAGGATTAAAAATGTCTAATGGACTTTCAAGTAACTCGATACCCAAAACTTTACCAGGCTCATCAATAATTTCAATCAACGTAAATGGCTTAAATTGTCCTCTAAATAGGCACAGATTGGCTGATTGGATACAGAAACTCAGACCACACATCTGCTGTATTCAAGAATCACATCTTACTTTTAAAGATAAATATAGAGTCAGGGTGAAGGAATGGTCATCTATATTCCAGGCAAATGGAAAGCAGAAAAAATCAGGTGCAGCAATTTTATTCACAGATACAATAGGCTTAAAACCAACAAAAGTAAGCAAGAATAAGGATAGTCACTTTATATTTGTTAAGTGTAATGATAGAAGGGTCAGAGATGAGATCAAGAAGGAAATTACCAAATTTTTATAACAAAACTATAATGATGACACGAGTTATCAGAAGCTCTGGGATAGTGCAAAGACAGTCCTAAGAGGGAAATTTAAAGCATTGCAAGTCTTCCTCAAGAGAAGGAAAAGAGAAGAAGTTAACAATTTAATGGGACATCACAAGCAATTGGAAAAGGAAGAACATTCCAACCCTAAATCCATCAGAAGAAAAGAAATAACATAAATTACAGCAGAATTAAATGAAATTGAAAACAAAAGGATTATACAACATATTAATAAATCAAAAAGTTGGTTTTTTGAAAAGGTCAGTAAAATAAACCTTTGACTAACCTAACCAAGAAAAAAAGAGTAAAATTTCTAATCTCAACAATCAGAAACGGTAAAGATGAAATAACAACAGACCTCTTAGAAATTCAAACAATCCTTAATGAATATTATAAGAAAATTTATTCCCAGAAATATGAAAATATGAAGGAAATCGACCAATACTTAGAAGCACGCCAACTCCCAAGACTCAGACAGAATGAAGTGTAAATTTTGAACAGGCCTATATCAAATTCTGAAATGGCATCAAGTATACAAAATCTCCCTAAAAAGAAAAGCCCAGGACTAGATGGCTCCACATCAGAATTCTACCAAACGTTCAAAGAGGAACTAGTACCTATATTATTCAACCTTTTCCAAAATATAGAAAAAGACGGAATACCACCCGAAACATTCCATGAAGCAAGCATCACCTTGATACCCAAACCAGCAAAAGACCCAACAAGAAAAGAAAATTATAGACCAATGTCACAATAAATATCAATGCAAAAATATTCAACAAGATCCTAACCAACAGAATCCAGCAACACCTCAAACAAATGATACACCACAAACAAGTGGGTTTTATCTCAGGCTCTCAAGGATGGATCAACATATGTAAATCTATAAATATAATCCATCACATAAACAAATTAAAAAACAAAGACCATATGATTCTGTCAATTGATGCAGAAAAAGCATTTGATAATATCCAGCATCCCTTCATGATTAGAACACTTAAGAAAATTGGTATAGAAAAGACATTTCTCAAACTGTAGAGGCCATCTACAGCAAACCCACATTCAATATTGTATTGGATGGAGTTAAATTGAAATCATTTCCACTCAGATCAGGAATGAGGCAAGGTTGCCCATTGTCTCCATTGCTCTTTAACATCGTAATGGAAGTTTTAGCCATCACAATTAGGGAAAAAAAGGTGATCAAGGGTATCCATATAGGGTCAGAAGTGATTAAACTTTCACTTTTCAAAGATGATATGACTGTATATCTGGAAAACACGAGGGATTCTACTACACAACTCTTAGAAGTGATCAAGTAATACAGCGGCGTCTCAAGTTACAAAATCAACACTCATAAATCTGTAGCCTTTATATATACCAACAGCAGCCAAGCTGAAAAAACAGTCAAGGACTCTATTCCGTTCACAGTAATCCCATCAAAGATGAAATATTTGGGAGTTTATCGAACAAAGGATGGGAAAGATCTCTATAAAGAGAACTATGGAACTCTAAGAAAAGAAATAACTGGAAATGTTAACAAATGGAAAAACATACCATGATCATGGTTTGGAAAAATCAACTTTGGTAAAATGTCCATACTACCCAAAGCAATATATAATTTTAATCCAATCCCTATTAAAGCTCCACTGTCATACTTTAAACATCTAGAAAAAATAATATTTCATTTTATATGGAATCAGAACAAACCTTAAATAGCCAAGACATTACTCAGCAATAAAAACAAAGCAGGAGGAATCACGCCACCAGACCTCAGATTATACTATAAATCCATAGTGATTAAAACATCATGGTACTGGCACAAAAAACAGAGAGGTATATGTATGGAACAGAATAGAGAGCCAACAGATGAATCCAACTACTTACCAGTACCTGATCTTTGACAAGCCAATTAGAAACATTGAGTGGAGAAAAGATTCCCTATTTAACAAGTGGTGCTGGGTGAACTGGCTGGCACCCTGTAGAAGACAGAAACTGGATCCACGTCTTTCACCATTAACTAAGATAGACTCTCACTGGATTAAAGACTTAAACTTATGACATGAAAACAATAAAAACACTAGAAGAAAGTGTAGGGAAAACACTCATTGACTACACAGGGAACATGGAATGGTAGACACTGACAGTGGAGATGAAGGACTTGATGGAGGACAGCGTGCAGAAGAGGCTCAGGGTGAACGCACTCAAACCTATGAATCTGAAAGCTACTGTCTTCCTTACAGTCGGAACAGTGGGAGCCAAGTGCCTGCCAGCCAGCCTCTGCCCTTCTCATCCCAAAGAGACATAGAGGAAGAAGATATAACAATAGAAAGCTATGAGAGTGATAGGACATAAACAACCTGTTAGACAGTTTGCTACTTCATGATTAATTTTAGTTTTATGCAGTGGTACTTGAACAGAGTTAATATAATTACCCGAGTTACAACTTGTTAATTCTCCACTCTTTTAATATTTCATCTTGAGGTAAATAGAAGATCAAGCAAGCCTTCAAGTAATCTATAGTATGTATTTATTTTATGACTGGTTTAAAGAGAGGAGGTCAGAGTATATGAAGTGTGTTTGAACATTATACCAAATATCACAAAATGTGAAGGACTAATCCAGGATACAAAATCTTTATTGGGGAGGAAGGTTGTAAATATGAATTATAAAATCATTTAGCATGCAATTATGAGTGTAAATCAATTTTGTGCATTATTTCCAGTTTATTGTATCTACATTCTCAGATACCAATTTTATATGTCGTACAGTGGAATGTCTTAGATACTTTCTGAAAAACATTTACATAATTTATACCAAAATTAAAATGTTGAATTTCAAAAAAAAATCTCAGATGAGAAGGGAATGCCTTCAGTAGAACTAATGGGATTTACAGATGATAGGATACATTTCAAGTGCCATATACACAACATGGAATATTTTCAACAATCAAAAGGAATGAAGTGAACATTTATCTTACAATAGGAGTGAACCTTAAAATAATTATGATAAGGGAACAAGACCAGTTACAAAAGACCAGACAGAGTACAGTTGAACTCAGAACAAAACATCAGAACAAAGCCAATTGTGTATTAGAACTAGGGGCAGGTGGGGGAGGGTGCTGGGGAAGAGGAAGGTGAGTGCTAGTAGGTATTCACATTCTGTGGGGGTGGGAGAAGACAAAATTGTAAAATTAGATTGTGATGATAGCTGAGGAATTATGTTACTATATGAAGAAAAGCAGAATTGTACACTTACAAAGGGTGAAATACTTATTTCAATGAAACAACTTGACGAAGTTTTCCAAAACTTGAGGTACTCAAAAAACTCACAGCATAAGAAGTACTGAGGTCTTGAGAATACTTGAGTGACAGTCAATCCTCTGTTCCTGCTCATACACAGGCTAACATGAATTTACATGGAAGGCACACTGTTCCATCCTATCGAAGTTGTCATTTACTTTCTCCTTGAGACAGAGTCTGACTCCTTCCCCCTGGCTAGAGTACCCTGATGTCATCATAGCTAACTGCAATATCTAATTCCTGGGTTCAACAGATTCTATTGCCTCAGCTTCTTGAGTATCGGGGAGTCCAGGTGCTCCACCACAGTGCTCAGTTACTTTGGTCCATCCCAGAGTGTTAGGATTACAGGTATGAGCCACCACTCCAGACTTTGATGTTGGGATATTTTTCAAACTATGGTTTTTGGCCAGAGGTGGTGCTTCATGCCTGTCATCTTGGTAGTTACGGAGGCCCAGCCAGTTGGATTGTCTAAAAACTGCTGTATGTTATGCAGGTGCCTAGAGTCCCCGCCAAGAGAATAGGTTGGCTTGATGACAACACTTCAAGATTGCTATGAGATATAAAACCAGGTCACCTTACTGGGCACAATAAAATGAGACTCTGTCTCAATACATAAATAGAGAAAACCATTGGTAAGGAACTTAACCCTTCATTTTTACTTTTGACCATGGACCTAGAGTTCAAATTTTTCCTTTAGATTAGATGTCACCTATAGAAATTATTCTCTCATAAAGAAATTTTTTTCCTACAACCTCTATTAATCAAGCCTTTGGATTTTACATAATTCTGACCCTTTGAAATCGTAGAACCTTGTAGTCACTGGAAACTGCCCACACAGTGAATTTTTGACTCAAATCAGGCTTTTCATATGCCCACTAAAATCTAGAGTATACTCTCCACCTTTTCTGTTGGGCTCCTTCAATCTGGGCCAATATTCTATTGCCTCAGTCAGTCTGAGCCCAGGGACCAGACATCTCTGGACAACCCCTACCCATCAGAGCAACTGGCAATATCCTACAAAACCAATCCCAAAACTGCTTGTACTGACTCATTGCTCCTTTCCCTCAAGGGCCAAAATAAATTTCCTCCTTTATGTAGTCCCATACTCCACCTGCCTACTGACCTGTCCTCATACTTCGTCTCTTGAAAATTATGCCTAGAGCTATGGAGTCAGTTGGTGCCGGAGGCGGCGCGGAGGCAGGAGGCGTTGTCCGACTAGGGGCCTCTGCCCCGCCAGGATGTTACCGGGCTTGGCCGCCGCCGCTGCGACCCATAGATGTAGCTGGTCCTCACTGTGCCGGCTCCGTCTGCGCTGCAGGGCGGCGGCCCACGGCTCCAGCGACCGCCAGGGATGGCAGAATTTGGTGACATTTGGAAGCTTTTCAAACATGGTTTCATGTAGTCCTTCATATGTTTGTATACTCAGTCAAGTAAAGTCGTATTCCACGAATATTCAGAAAGAAGGACAAGGATCACAGTCTCTCAGAGTGGAAAAAGTATCATCTCTTGATGAAACAGCAGAAAATATAGGTGCAGAACTCAAAGCTCCACTTAAGCAAGACCCTCTCCAAGTAAGAGTTAAAGCAGTTCTTAAGAAAAGGGAGTATGGATCAAAGTACGCTCAGAATAATTTCATTACTGGAGTCAGAGCAATGAATGAGTTCTGCCTTAAATCCAGTGATCTAGACCAACTTCGAAAAATTAGACGACGAAGTCCCCATGAAGATACTGAGTCCTTTACTGTATACTTGAGATCAGATGTGGAAGCAAAATCTTTGGAAGTCTGGGGAAGCCCTGAAGCTCTTGCCAGAGAAAAGAAACTGCGTAAGGAAGCAGAGATAGAATACAGAGAACGGCTGTTTAGAAATCAAAAAATATTAAGAGAATATAGAGATTTCTTGGGAAACACCAAGCCACGCTCCAGAGCCGCATCAGTGTTCTTTAAAGGACCAGGAAAAGTGGTGATGGTTGCCATTTGCATCAATGGGTTAAACTGTTTCTTTAAATTTCTTGCCTGGATTTATACGGGTTCAGCAAGTATGTTCTCAGAAGCTATACACTCACTGTCTGATACTTGTAATCAGGGTTTACTAGCATTGGGCATCAGTAAGTCTATTCAAACACCAGATCCTTCTCACCCTTATGGATTTTCAAATATGCGCTATATTTCTTCGCTATTTAGTGGTGTTGGTATTTTCATGATGGGTGCAGGACTATCGTGGTACCATGGAGTCATGGGATTGCTTCATCCTCAACCAATAGAATCCCTTCTATGGGCATATTGTATTTTAGCAGGATCATTGGTATCTGAAGGAGCCACACTTCTTGTTGCTATAAATGAACTTCGTAGGAGTGCTCGGGCCAAAGGAATGTCATTTTACAGATATGTAATGGAAAGTCGTGATCCTAGTACAAATGTGATATTATTGGAAGATACTGCAGCAGTATTGGGAGTGATAATAGCAGCTTCTTGTATGGGCCTTACTTCTATAACAGGCAATCCGCTGTATGACAGCCTAGGTTCTCTGGGTGTGGGCACCTTATTAGGTGTGGTATCAGCTTTCCTCATCTACACTAACACAGAAGCGCTCTTAGGGCGATCCATCCAGCCAGAGCAAGTCCAGCGGCTTACTGAACTCCTGGAGAATGACCCATCAGTAAGGGCAGTTCATGATGTTAAAGCCACAGATCTGGGATTAGGTAAAGTCAGATTTAAGGCAGAAGTAGATTTCGATGGACGAGTTGTTACGAGATCATATTTGGAGAAACAAGATTTTGACCAAATGCTACAGAAACGAAATCCTGAAGTTCGACATGTAGATTTGGAGATACTGTAAATGTGATGGAATGGATCACCTTGGTGAAGCCCGTGGAAACAAGTTTAGTAAGCCACTCTGCGAAGCCCGTTTCCTCCTCTCCCACATTGAAGGAGTTGGTGCCGTTCAGAAGCCATTTTTTTGTGAGATGGAGGAAATGTTTTATGTAAAGATCAGTTCAGCAGGCCCCAGAATGAAATCGACTTCTTACATCTAAGAGACTCACTACAAGTTGAATCAATTTGAAAATCATGTTTTTATGCTTCCATAGGGAACATTTCAGTTACTTAAATTGTGTATAGTTTCTCATGATAGCTTGTCACTGTATATTGTACCTTGTAATCATGTCTCCTTTCTTCGCATTGGTAAAAGAGTGGCGCCCAGGGGATAATTTTTAATTTTGATGCCACTGAAGATTTCACTCCATGAATCTCAAATATTCGGATTAATTTTGGTATGTGGTTTTTAAACAGTCACTCTTCTTCAAAGTCTGTCTTTCCTTATGGAATGTGGAAATTATTTCAGTGTATCTTGTGATTTTGACCTGAGTACTAAAAGAACACTCTCCTACCCAGGTATCCGTAAATGTTAATTCCAAAAATGGCTCTGTTTACTGAATTGAATGAAAACATTTCTGTACATTATTTCAGATCATAGGAGTTGCCATTCTGTAAACTTTCTTTTTCTTCTTTCCTTTTTCCCCTTATTTGGTTTAATTTTTTTAATGTTAGGAAATATAAAGTAATCCTGGATATTTCCATGGCCAGTGTGCTGCTTTTTTTTTTTTTTTTTAAACTGGCTCCCATGCCATGTTT